CTCAGGTTGATCAATTGAAGGCTCAGGCTCCTCTGCACAGCCTTTAAAGTCTCTTCTATATACAGGCAGATCTCAGTGTCAGAGAGACATTGGCTCAGGATTTCTTAATTAACCCCACACAGGAAAGGATGTTGCAATATTACTTCCAGAATATTTAAGGGTTAAATCTGTATCTGAGACTACGGGGAAGCATAAGCAGCAGGCATTTGGGTCATAACTCAAGACTTTGTAAGTTAAAACTAAAATTCTAATCGTAACACAAGTTGTTCCTATGTCAGGCCAGTCTTAACTCGAGGGTCTGCTGTAATTCCTTCTATTTCACTAGGTAAAAAATTGGCAGTGAAAATTTTCATTGGAGTCTGAACATCACTTAACTAATGGTGTGATGGCAGAAATATAAAACATTTGCTGAAAATAAATTCCATCCTTCTGAAGTTTAACTAAAATTGATAACACATGTTAGTACCTAGTTCTGAGCTGACTATGCTGCTGCTTTCTGTTGCTTTGAAGATCACAGACTCTATCACCTTCTCTTATTTAAGACCATCAGGCTAAAGAACATACCATTAAAATTGTTTATGGCTCGATTCAGATAAGTGAAAGTAATGATTTAATAAAAGGCTTTCTCTAAGAGATTTGAAAATGAGACACTGTAATAGACCTAGTATTTCCAAGTACGGAGTGAGCAACAATAATAAAAAGAATTTTCTTCGAGCAAGAAAAGTAAAACCTCACAAGTAATTATTTTCAGGAATTTTCTTTTATACATCCAGATTTTAAACTGGTAATATGCCCAAATCAACCAGAACCAGTAAAATGTTTTATATCATTTTTTGTAACTTACTGCATTCTTCAATAATTTCATCTCATGTTAAATGAATCTGAAAATAGGAAAGTAGTCCCATTGATTCTGTTTCATGTGTAGAAGTACTATGATTGATTTGATTTGCAAGAGCTCTCACAACCAGTAATGTTGAGTTAGAATGTGATCTTAGACTCAGTGATTCTTAATCTAGACACACAAATGCTTATTTGTCTTTTTATTAAACTAGAAGCTGTATATCATTCTAGATGTTTATGTGTGGGTCTTTCAAAATCATCAGTTTCAGTTAAAAAAATAAGAATAGAATGAGTAACTTATCTTAGAAACAAAATTGTCATATTTATTTTAAATGCAACATATTAGCTTTATTTTAAGAATTTTCTATTTCCTGTTATTTTTACAGGGTACCAGACTTAGTTTTTAAATATGACATTCAGGAGTTCAAAATCTAATTCAGTGTCTACTACTGTATTATGTTTACAGTATATGAGATGACTGGGATTTATATACTTAGATTTGGCAGCTTCTTATGTATGATATATAAATTTATGTCACATATAAATATTATATATATACTTGACCAGGGAGATATATCAAATTTAAAACTCTTACTCTAAGGCAGTAGCCATCTATTATAATGTTATAGAAACAGAATCGAATATGACACGATGTATAATATCTCCAACTTTTACAGATTATTGTTATTTTAATGAATTTCTTCTACAGTTTTTATGTTGCATTTTGTTTTATAATATTGGACTCAATGTCTCATAATATTGGGGACAAAAAATTAGACACAGAATAAAATAATAGATCCTATAAATAAGCTTAAATTGAAAATTAATATTTCATTTGCTAATAACCTTTACCTTCTTTGTGTGTGTGTGTGGTTCTAGGTGTTGGGAAAGTTAGGGGGTAACTGTGTCCAAGCTAAATGTATTCATTTGCTTCTTCTCTCCCTGCACAATGCAGTTGTTCTATATCTGAATTTTGAAAAATGCATTCAACTTAATTTACTTAAACACTCAAAAAAGACACTGGATAGAAGACACTACTTCCCCTTTCTTACTTCCCCTTTCTCTCCCTCTCTTGCCCTCCTTCCCTTGCTTCCAACTTTCACTTATTAAATATCAATCAGCTTTAATTTCTCAACAACAGTAAATTACTTACTACGATCCAGGTTCTATTGTAGTTGCTATTCTTGCCCTTTTTTGAGAGTTCATATTTTGTTTCAGCTGTTAAAGGTAACTCTCTCCAGAAATTTGTTGATACTTGAAGGATGTCTAGCTTTGGTCAAGTTGTTAGGATAGATTTCTTAAAATCAAGAAATAAAAATATGGCCTCAAGGTGCACTCATTTAGCCATAAATGTCTCTAGTTTCTCCTTCTTTTTGGCTTGATCTATATACATATATATATATATATATATATACATCTATAGATATATATCAAGTTTCGCAATACAAACTATGTCTCTATAAACACGGTGAGCATATATCACATAGGACACACATATGTAAATACTGAATAGTTTCTCTGGTATGAGAAACAGAGTGTAAACAAAGATCAAAATGTATAATACATAATGTCAAATAGGAAGAAAAGCACTAAAGGGGAAGGGGAATTGGAATTGGTAGGGGAAATGAAAGAAGGAAAAGGCAAAATATGAGAAGAGGAAAAATTGGAAACAAAGTCTTTGTAAATAGGGAGGGATGGAAGGGTTGAAAGGGCAGGCGTGTGGGGAAAAATAGGAACCAAGATACATCATGTAAAGGTACAAGATCCCAATGATAACTGTCATTGTACTGTATACCTAAAATGTACCAATAAACTTAATTAAAAATAAATGAGCCACGTAGTGTTTTTTTTTTCTGAGAAGCCCCTCCCCACCTAATTCCTTAGGGTGGGGCTGGTTACAGGACTCCAGAAAAGGGGGCAATAGATACTCTTTAAAGGAAATGTGTCAAAAAATTGAGAATTACAGAGATGGACAAATAAAAGAAAAACACGGAAACATGGAAACAGACTTTGTGGAGAAGGAAAAGGAATCTGGGGATTGGGGCAGATGGAAAGGAGAGAAGGGAAAGTAATAAAGAAAAGATGCAATAGGTATATGTGCTAATTCCTCATATGAATAGATTTGTTATGTATTGCAAATATACACTAGTAAAAAGTAACAAACAACAAAAACTTGAGTATGAATGAGGTTTTTTTTCTTCAGTATGACCTTCAAATCCTAACGACAACTGCTTGGATAGGATGTCCTGATGGGTACCAATGACTACATGACATAAAGAGCTCCCTGGAACACCATTCACATAAAATAATTTTGCTACTCCCTGGAGGAACAATGGGTTCATACAGTTTCCAATATTTACCACTACTATTAACATTTTTATTTACTTAAAAACTGAAAAAAATATACTTTAAATTGAAAATACTCCACTTTTACTACTACTACTAGTACTACTACTACTACTACTACTCTCTGCAATCTGATTTTTAGGTCTGATTTTAGAGGCAAGAAACAAGATCTTTTTTTTTACATGACTTCATAGTAGGAAAATGGATGCACCTTGCATCATGTTAAGTTCAATAAATAAGACACAGAAGCTTAATATCAATGGTTTCTCTTACATATGAAATCAAAATCATAAAGAAAGCAAAATAAAATAAGGATAATAGGAAGCAAGGACACAGATAGTTCTCAAATGGGAAGGGGAACAGGAGATGAGGAAGGAGGAGAGGGGCAGGGGATGAAAAAGGGAATTAAGGTGTGTTATGTACAGGTACCAACTCCACATGAGGAATGTGAACGCTGCGTAAGGCAAACATGTGCTAGTAGACATTTAAAAGTTTATAAAAAGCACTGACATACAATTTATTGTTAACTCATTCAACATTATCCATCAATTCTATTTTACATAAAAACTCAAAAAATCAAAATATATTTCAATTATACTTGTGATGAAGGAAATGCCTTTTTAGTCACACTTAAGTGAGCATAGGTATTAGTGCCATTTGTAAAGTACTTTATGTAATGCTAAAGAAAACTAATATTGTGAAAAATATAATGAATAATGTCTGTTGCTAACCATAGAATATGTAAATATGGTGCCAGTGAATTATCCCCTAAAGGATGCCAAATTCCCTGCCATATGCTGTCTTTCACTATATGGAATTTGCTGCCAATTTCACTTATTCTTCATCCCGTGCTCCAAAATCTTGAGGATAAATAGTCCCAGAACATTCTCAAGAGGTTTTCATTGGGACTGAAGCCAAAAATCACAGATCAGCCTCTCAGAATCCCTTTTGAGCCTGGCTGGAGAAACCATCGTGGAAATAAATTCTGATCTCTATCATGGGCTGTAAGCCAGTTTCCCCAGAGCAGTCACGAATCCACCTGGGACCCTAGATCAGAGCTGTTTTAAATAGACAGAGAACCAAGAAAAAGGCCTCACTTCACTGTGATCCCAATCTTTACAGCTCAGAAGCATTCTCAAGACTCCTATAATTTTCCCAAAGACTGGGGAACAGAAAGGGTAAAGATTTGGGAGTTTAAATGAAGGTAGTGAACAATAAAGAAAAGGCAGCAAGCTGGGAGTTCCTGTTAAAATTGAGTCACAGTTTTTCCTTGCTGTCTTGAATACCCAAAAGTTCTCCAAAAATTCTTCTTGACTATCTTTAAGTTGAATATCTTTAAAAAGCCCAACATTTAACACACATGTGTATATATATATATATATATATATATATATATATACACACACATATATATATACATATACATATATATGTATAACTATCTATCTATCATCTATCTATATCATGTCAATATATTACTTGTGAAAGAAAGACATATTAATTCTAAACTTTAATTTTTGTTAGAACTGGATAAACGTGAAAAAATTAATGTTAATGGCAGTACTGGGGATTGAGCCTAGAGCCTTCACACTTAGCTACATCCCAAGCCCTTTTAATTTTTTATTTTGAAATAATATTGCTAAGTAGCTAAAATGCCTGTGCTTGACTTGAACTTGCAGTTCTGCTTGCTTCAGTTCCCAAAATGCTGGCACTGCAGGCATGAGACACTATGCCAACTCCAAATTCTTATGATTGGGTTTGAGTTTAAACAGCTTGCACTCAACATACACAGAGTATCTTAAGATTTTACTTACTTTTAGTAACAACTCCTTCTAGTCGAATGATGTTGGGATGATCAAACTGTCCCATAATGCTAGCTTCTCCCAAAAAATCTCTCCTTTGTTTTTCTGTATAGCCCACTTTCAGGGTCTTGATGGCCACTGAAATCTCCTTTTTCGAAGGAAGTTTTAAACGACCACTGCATACCTCTCCAAACTCACCTACCGGAATGCAGAACAACAAAATGTAAGGAATTACAAAATAAAAGAATCATTGGTGGGGAGCTACTGTTGCTTTTCAATATTTGCATTTCAAATAGTTACACCCTTCACCTGGAAGATACACACTATAGGCCTCCAAATGATTTTGGAAGATGACAGTTTAAAATTACATAGGCAACCTCAGGATAACCACATCCTTGTGGAAAATGGATCTTGTGAGAATTTCTTATATTTTAAAGCTCCACACTGTAAAAAGTGCAGAGAGAGAGAGAGAGAGAGAGAGAGAGTTGAAACTTCATCTGGCTGATATTTTACCCCTACCACTACCTCAGGTTAATCAGCAGGCCAGCCCAGGTATTATAAGATGAACATTGGATTAAATTTCAGATGTTTGTTAACTATTCTGTTTTTACTGTACTATAATTTAGCTTTATACTTAGACTCTATAAAATAAGATTGCAAATATCTGCTACCAGTTCATTTTGTTGGAGCATTGGGATATTGCATTACTGACACACTCTATAAAGTTATCTGCACTTCTGATGAATAATGATAATATAACTGTCAAATAAAGCAGTGTGTCTCATCTAAAGAATCATTGTGGAGCTCTTTGATTTGATATCCTTAATAAAATATTATAAATGGGAAATTTTTGCAGAACTAATTGAAACTAGAGTGTTGCTGATTCTTGAATATTCTAACCTTACTGATTTAAAATCACCTAGAATTAGATATGAACTACATTTCATACACATTATTGTGGAAAAATTTTGCTCATCATTTTTTCATAAGAATTTAAGTTTTCATTCATTTCTCTTAAGGTCAAATTTATTCCCTTTGAGGAAGTAGAGAAAAAAATAACAGTGACTGCAGCTACCTTATCCCTTAGGATTTTAAGGAGAACTGGGGAGTAGAAGTTGAGAATACGTCCTTGCAAAATGGGAGTATTACAGCCATAAAGAATGAGAAATTAGATTCATTCATAGGAAAATGGATACATATTGAGGACATACTCCTAAGTGAAATAAATAAGTCACATTTGTAAATACCAAATAGTTTCTCTGGTGTGAAAAACTATAATAGTACATAAGATCCTAACGAGATAATTGACCATGTGAAATAGGAAGAAAAGGGCTAAAGTTGTAGGGAAAGTGGGAAGTTTAGGGGAAAGGTAATAAGGGAAAAGAAAAAAATATGAGAAAATGAAAAAATAGAAATAAAGTTTTTGTAAACAGGGAGAGGAGGAGGGGGTGAAGCGAGGGCAGGGACAAGGGGAAAAAATGAGAACCAAGACCTGTCTTGTAAAGGTACAAGATCCCAAATACGAATCTACTGTATACCTGAAATGTACCCATAAACTTAAAACAACAACAACAACAACAACAACAAAAATGGAAGTATTAGAAGTTATAACATGATGTTAGAATTTGTAAGCAAGAGAAAGAATTCCTTTCCCAGGGTTTTCTGAACACTGCCAGAAAACTCCAGCTCTTTTTCTGTAAATATTGTTTGAAAAAAAATTATACATAAAAAGCTTTCCATTAGGAACTTGATCATTTTCTGAAGGTTCTACTACTATCATTAGTTAACATGGTATAAAGGACTACACTTTACGTTTAAATACCACCACATTTAGTGACCTATAACCTATCAGTTCGCAGGAGAGAGAGTACAGGGCTGTGATTAAGCGATTAATCCTAGAGGCAAATTGCTCAGAGTATAATCTTTGCTATTATTTAGCTTTGTGATTTTAAGTAAGTGTCCTGACCTCTCTGTGCTTTCTTTTCTTTATCTACAACTGGGTGCACCACTTGTTTCTCTAATGATGTTGCACAAGGGGATTACTCTATGTAAAGAACTCGGAACAGTGCCAAACACATGGTGACTTCTAAATTTCAGTTACTATTTACTTCTCTGCGCTCAGAACCACCTTAACAGGCTTAAATTACCTACCTCTTAAGAGTTTCTGTTCAAGATCCCAATAATTAATGTAAATGTGCTGTACATCTAAAATGTACCAATAAAATCAATAAAAGAAAAAAAGGAGGGGGGCGGGGATTTAGCTCAGCGGTTCGGTGGCCTGCCTTGCAAGCGCAAGGACCCAAATTCAATCCCCGGTACCAAAAAAAAAAAAAAAAAAGTTTCTGTTTATATTAAATTGAAAAATGAGTATAAGAGTGTTTTTTAAAGTGCCAAGTGCTGTGTAAGAGATAGTATTAACAACTTTCTTGTCAGCCTGGACAAATATTTGTAAAGGAGAATGTTTCTAAGAGTACCTGACAGGTGAGATTAAAGGTAAGATTCCATATTTTAAGTGAGCCAATAACAGGATATTTGTCCTAAGTGGGATCCCTGGACATGTGTACATGTATAGCTACCTTCAAATTTTGTAGAAATGGTATTTCAGTAATGATAAATTTTAAATATTTTAATGTGACTACTTCATCAGATAAATACTAGAAATGGTCATCAATATATAAAAAAGTAATTCAGTTCTCTTTATAATAATTTAAAAGAATTACATTAAGAAAGTTGACAAAGACTGAGCAAATATAATTTCCTATCGCTCCCAATAGCCAAGTTTTAAATTTTTTCCGATTAATTTTTCACGATTTTGAAAGGAAATGTGGATTTTATCATTTCTAACAAAACCTAGTCATCAGATGCTAATAGTTTAAATTTTAATAAGTATGGCATTTTACTTTACATTTTAAATATATGTGTTTTATGAGAAGGAATGGTATATTTTAATTTAAGACACACAATGTAAAAATTACAGATTTTTAGGGCTGACAATATAGATCAATGACAAAGTGATTGCTTTCCAAATGCAAGAGCCAGATTTGTGTCTCAGCACAATAAATACATGCACAATAGGTAAGAACTTAAATAATAAATAAATAAATACAATTTCCTCCACTTATTTCTTTTAAAATAGAAAAAAGTCTACTTGTGTTTAAATAGAATGATCACCTTTCCACATTAGACTCAAATCCTATTCTCCTACAAATTTAGTAAGAGAAACATAATAAAATCCATATTGAACAATGTCTGTGAATCAGCTAAGTATTCTACACAAATTGTGTAACCTTACCCTAACAAAAATTCTACCAAAAAAAGGCACAATTGTGATTGGCAGTGTCTAGAACTGACTTTGACTTTGGAAAACGAAAGACTTAAATTGTAATTTCTTACTTTTGAGACCACAGCCCTTGAAATTGTTAGCTTCTTGTTGTTTAAATGTTGAAATAGAGCTAGTAATACCTATTTGAATTTGATGACAAAGGTAAATGTCACATGACTGAAAAAAATGGTTAAAAGAAGTAAAAGGAATTTTAGTCATTATAAATTTCTCACTAATTTAAATTTAATTTAGTGAGTTAAATCATGGGTCAATTTTAATTTTCCATTTACATTATAAGTATAATGTTTCTGGGCATATAATGTATAAATGAAAGTTGCTATAACATATATCTACATAAAAACTCTGTCAGAAAAATTATATAGATAGATATGGCTAATTCTCTCTATTATATATATAAAATATATATATGGAAAAAGAGAGAGAGAGGGAGACAGAGAGACAAATTACATTAACTACCACTGGCTGAAAGAGTTAGCCTAAGAATGACAGATATGGAAGACAGTTACTAATCAATATAGTTTAATTATTAAACTTTTATTATAACTTTATTTTCATTTTCAACAATTTTATTAAGATATAATTCATCCTCATAAAACTCAGCCATTTAGGAGCATTAAATTATTTTTAAAACCTAAAAAGTTTGTATAAAGTAGGTAACTGCATTGACAGAACAAGTTTGTTACATGAGACTGGGGTGTAGATCAGTCGTAGATCACTGTCCAACATGTAGGTAGTCTGGATTCAATCCCCAGCCATTTGCTTTGAGGTTGGCATGAGTTGATTATTGTTGTACCTATCTCAGAAGTGTGTACAGACACATTAATTATGTTAATATGCATTCTTTCAATGTTACAAAAAAATATTTACATATTGATAGTTTTAAATTTTTTGATTCCATATTCTATCTTGGTAATATCAAACCCTCTAATGTCTCAGCAAGGTAGCCTAGAATTCAGTGTGTATATTAAGTTGAATACTTACAATTTAAGTATAGCCAACCTTGAAAAGATACCTACTTACAAAGGCACAGTGTATTCTTTTAATGTGGAGAATAAAAAGACTGCCTGCAAAGCCCCAGAAATGGGCTATTTGTCTAATTCTTGATGAACATGGTTGAAGAATGACAAATCAGATCTGATAAAATTTTACTCATCATCAAAAATTATTCAGTGATTCTTATAAGACTTCCCTTTAGCTCATTTATGATACTATTTTTAATGTGTGAGCTTTGTTTCATAACTGCGTTTTGGATATTTGCCTCTGTCACTGATATCTTTTATTAAATCTCTTACCGATGCAGAAGGCCAGGAATTTCAAGTGCATAATGGTATTTGTCAGGTCTTCTGGGCATTGGATCAGCATCAGTGACTTCTTATTCTTCTCCTTAGACTCCAAGTGAGTCTGAGATGCAAGGCCTGTGCTGCTTGTGTTACTGCAGTTTCCACATTAGAAAACAGTGCCTCTTATGAGGTAACATTAAAACCAGTTGAGCAGAAGACTTCTGCTCTCCAGGAGCAGACCACACACCAATAAAACAGTGATCTATATGTATCTGTTTTGGCACTAAGTATAGGTATGCAGTGAATGTGTGTACTTTCAAATCTTTGTGAAAAGAGAAATCCTAAATGAGTTCCTTTTTATGAGCACAAGTTTCACATTATAACAGTATTGAAGATAGGTAAGTTAATTATATATCTTATAGGCAATTAGATATCTCAGGAAGCCAACACAGCAAGGAGCCAACATGGAGGACAATCAAGACACATTCACTGAAGAGAAACTAGAAAGGAGAGAAACTACTAAAACTATGTGCTTCCCCTGGGTGTAAATAGCAGTGATTGATATTTTAATAGGTTTCAGTCACCTGGGTAGGAGGCCAAGGTTTTAAACCAGTCTTTCCCCGAAATACCCCTGATCCCCACCCTTAATAAAAATCCTTGTATATGTTTGCTATGTGACTTGCTCCCGCATTTGACCCCCACTTAATCAATATTACTTGGGCAACTGGCTATACTTATACTCTTATTGTTTGGTCATGGTTTGGCTCCAACTCATGACCACCTTGTAATTTTCCATTGGGTGTTACAGTTTTGTCCCACTTTGTACCCACCTTACTACATGGCTTTGCTGTATAAAATATCCTTGAAAATTAGGGTGAGCAGGCAATCCACTTTCTAGTGCCCCTTCTGTCTCTCCTAGGCAAAAGCTTTCTTTCCCTCAATAAATTTTTCCTACTCTTAACCTCCGTTGTTCATTCTTCTATTTTAGAGAACACGAACTCACATTTCAGATGTCTAGCAGGCTTGGGAGTTACATCTCTTCCCCTATATCAATATTACCTGCATATGTGAGTTGGTAGGAGGATAAGACATTAAGAAAATTAGAAGAGAAGCTTTAGAAAATTAACATTTTATTTGGATAATATGAATTACTCAGATTGTCCTGTTTGCATACTAATTACTGATTGAATTTTAAATACTACTTTGGTGTACAGAAAAATAGAGGCAATTACATGCATATTTGTGTAAAGAAGCATCAGTCATAAATATATAAATATAGCACTTGCATAAAATGTGATCTGATAGGTTATGCATAATTCAATGAGTTAATTTCTCAATCTATCATTCTAATTCCTGCATGAACATAAGAGTTTGGTTTGTCTTTGAGAGCAACCTTAAAGGTTGTAATAACTGCGTAAAACTCTTTATTGTTGAGCATGGTTCATTTTTACTTTTGAATAGTAGCTTTATTGCTGTATATGCTGTCATATATTATGGGTGTTTATGTGTTCATGTGTAAGTATATAAAATACTATTATTTAATACATAAGAAAATTTTGTTGAGAAAATGAAATTTTATTAATAATTAATTAATAATAAATGCAAGAATTTTGTTGATAAATCTATGATAGAATGATTGAGGAATGAAATATAAAATTATTTATATAAAGACAACTTGAGCCAGGTATAGTGACTCACGCCTATAATCCCAGCACTCAGGAGGCTGAGGCAGGAGGATTGCTGTAAATTCGAGATGAGCCTGGGCTACATAGTGAGTTCCAGATCAGTCTCAACTACATAGTGAGACCCTGTTTCAAAAAACAAACAAACAAAAAAATTAACAAAGACAACTTAAAATAAGTAGTCCATAAATGCAAAAAAAAAGAAAAAAGAAAAAAGAAAGACAAAAGGAAAAAAATAAAGAAAACAATAAGTAGACTATATCAAGTCCAGGAAGTATTTTAAAATAAAATAATTTATGTTATCTAAAATATCTATACAAAATAGTTGTGGATGAATTTATGTATCAAGTTTTTTCTTTGTCATTGTTGTTGTTGTTGTTCCAAAGAGGATTTTTAAAACTGAAAATTGAATATCTCTCTTACTTGACTTGATTAAATTGAGGCACAGTTTTATTCTGGTATCCCTATTTAGACTAAAAGTTTTGTGATACTTGATCAGCGTAGCCATGAAAAGATTGAGCCACTGTTGCTTCCACCTCTGAAATTCAATTAATAAATGGCAGCCATGGTCTGAGAGCCTGTTAAGTCTGGCACCTTTGAAATCATTTCATTCCATTATATACTCCATTTATTTATTGCCTGCCTTTGGTCATTAAAGCAGAAAACACTGTTTCAATTACAATATAGTTAGGCTTGGTGTAACTAGTACACTAGGTTGGCTACTTACCTGCTCCAACTACTTTGTCAATGGATATATTTGTGCCATCCAATTCCTTAGCAAACTCATGAATGGCTTGTGTTGGGTCTTCATATGTATGTGGGTCAACATAAGTCCTGAGTCCTGGAAGTTTTACTGTTCAAGGGAAGGAACAAAGACATCATTGCCATGTGACTTATTAAACTTTTATTGAGCAATTGTTATGACTTAAAGCTAAAAGAAGTCTCCATCCCAATAAGGTATGCTGACCTTTAAATTCACTCATTACTTTATTCTGTGATATGACAGAAAGGAAGATGTTGACCTAAGTGTTGAAAATGTTAAGAAAAGTTCCCCATGATAACACCTTAAAAGAAACCGCAATGATTTTTTTCTGCAAAGACACTAGAAGAAAAATGAATGTACTAGAAAGCAAATCTAAAGAAGAAAGATAATTCAGAATTTCAATAGGCCTGATTATTACAACCTGTAGCTATAATATTTTATGACATTGTACATTTCAGGTTCTATAAATATTGTAGTAACATAATATCTTTCATAATGCAAATAAAATGATATAAATACTGTATTTTCATCAAGCAATATAGGGGCTATATTATAGGCAAATTAATTAAATGATACAAAATGGCATATCTGCTGTCTGATACTATATCTTGTTTATTTACCTTCAAAATGAAAAGCCTCCACTGGAATTACATATCTAGTATAAGCTGTGAGTGTGTATATATGTAGGTATGTACTATATACATATACCAGTTCAGTATCTCTCAACTGAAATCTCCTTGTGAAAGCTATTCAACATAACTCAAGGCAACATAAGTGTTGTTTACGTGCCAGGTATCTTGACTGTCTACCTGACTGGATTAAGAGACTCCAGGAGAGGAGATTGTGAGGAGTTCATAGTTCCATGGGGCTTTAGGAAGTGAGGCCTAACTGGAAGAAGCAAGTCGTGGGGAAATGGCCAGGCACACAATTGCTAATCTCTGGCACCTTTATTTCTGGCTTTTTCTTCTCTGCTTCCTGGATCCCAGGAGTTGAACAGCACTTTTCTGCCATTCAGTGATGCTTCTGCCTTGGAACCCACTGTCCATGAACTAAAGCCATAAGGCAAAAAAGCCATTCCCCCCTTGAAGATGTGTACATCAGGTATTTTGTGCCAGAAATTGGAAAGCTGACCAATACAATTTACAAACTTATTAATGATACTCAGAAGTTAAGTTCTAAACATAAATCGCAAAATAATTATTTTATGTAAATCTCTTTTATATTATTGATTAAATTATTCCAAAGTGCTCGGTTAATGACAGGACTATTGCTCTAATTGGTATTTTCACTGATAAGAACACTTATTTCCAATTATTAATATTATTGAATCCTCCTGGCTTGATAATTTTGATTCATAAATGCCATTCATTTTATCTAACAGATTAATTTGCATACTTCTTTCTCATAAACACTAATTCTTTTTACAAAAACAGCAAAGTCATTCTTTAATGTAAAGGTCTACTATACTTTATTACTAAACTAAAATGACTTCTAACTATCAGAATATTTACACTTAATACAAAAAACAGATTAAAGAATGCTATCATATGTTTGTTGCCTTGGAGAAAAAAAATTTAAATGCAACCTAAGTTACTCAAATATGTTAGTAATGTGTTAGTCTTTTGTTGAATCAATTTTGTTATAATTTAATAAAAACTCATTTCACACTAATGAGACTATATCATATTTTTATTTCCCTATATATTAATTATGAGGAAACAAAATCTCACATTCTCCTCCAAGTTTAAAAAATAAAATTTTAAATACAAAGTAAAATGAATATTTTGGTAAATAATTTCAAAAGTTTTACCTTGGTAAACTTCAGAAAACCAATTTGAGGAAGATTGGTGGAATCAGAATTCATAGAGTTTGAAAGGAGTTGTTATAAACAGTGACTTTTAAAAAAGGGGGTTTCAAACATGCTTTAGCATTAACAATCAACCAAAGAGAATATGTGTATTATTAAATAATCTTAATGTTACAGGATTATTCTCTATAAAATAAATTATATTATCTTTCATTAATTAAAATAAGGTGAATTGCTTTTGTACCTACCTCTAATGTGTGACATTTGAGGGAAAAAATACAAATACAAGGATTCCTTTCCACCCCCAGGTAAATAATGGTTTTTTTCACTGTGGGGAGCTTTAGCTGCTGAGTTTTAACTGCTCACCCCACAGGTTCCAGGAATCAGAAGATTCTGTCTATAAGGCACATAATCCCTTCACACCAATAATTAAGGGCAACATACAGAGTAACTGGGCTCTGTCCTGAAAACCAGATAATAAACACATGCACATGTGTTAAGCTGTACTACTTTACAGCTCATTTTGTGCAAACACAATAATTTATATTTCCATTTTATCAGCATGAGTTGCCCTAAGGAGAGCAAAAAATGTAAATAGGTCCAGGCAGAGAGGACAAGGAGACATGGTCTTAGGAGCTGAAACACATTTCTTTCCTTTTGAAGCAATATTATAGGATTTGTAACAAGGCTGAAGGGAATAGTTCATAGCTACAGCTTTTAAAATAATACCAAATAGTCTGAAATAAACCAGCTGTTGTATGGAGAGACAGAAATTTTATGACATGCTTATATGTTACTTTATATTTTCAAAGCTAGAATAAAATGCATTTTTTCCATCATAAGGACATTGTGCATTAAAAAAAAACAAAAAAACAACAAAAAAACCCACGTTTTAACAAACTCCACCAGAACAACCAATACCAAAATAGACTGGGGAGACTACTCAAAATTGGCACACAGAATTTTGTCAAACCTCTTTGTTCATAAGACATAATTCCCATAAAAAACAGCTACACCATCATGGCCTTGCTCTAAAGACAATATTTTCACTTTTTGTCTTCCTAACACTTTCCTAACTCCACAAGAATATGATGGCCATAATTTATGCATGGAGATGGTGACACAGTATTTTTCTCTGTGTGAGCCCAGGAAAATTAGCATCCTTTAACTTGTTCATTCATTCCTTTAAGCCTTTGCTTTGGTAGCCAGATTAACCTGGAGTGATCTGTTACTGATATCGGGCAGGTAGTACCTTGGCTTGTGAGAGCTCCTCCATTGTGACTCTCCAACTAGATGAATAAACCCACAATACTCCTGCAAACTCTCGCATTGTTTCCACCTCACATCAATTTACATTTTGAAAAATATTTCTCTCTTCCTTTCTCACTCTCTCTGTCTCTGTCTAGCCCTCTCCACCCCCCACTTTTTTTTGATTCTATATGCTTTCTGCATTTTAACAAAAAGTAAATTGGGATTTATACTTGAGTTATAACCAAAAACCATTATTTTTAGATGCATATCCAATGGCTAAAAGGAAGTTCAATGTTGATTTGAAGACAATTTTCAACGGCAATAGTGAATGCCAAAGAAAGTAATGACTACAAGACCACATTAATTGTATTGAGATATTTTGGAGCACATGAGCCTGACATTAGCTTTTTGTACTAATTTCCATAAGAACATGCTATTCCTTTTAAAGCCACTGATTCATAATTGCCACATGGGGCTGAGCTGTCTTTTGGAAAAAATAAAACACCTGGAATGATTTGTTTCACTAGTACAAAAAAAAAAAAAAAGTCTTCTTACTAAATGTAAACATTTTATTTTCTAAAAGAATATTTCTTTTAGAAAATATTAAAAGGGACTAAATTGATTGGTACTAAAAAGGGGAGGAAAAGTGCTGGCTTTCCTACCAGCTGGATATCATGTAACTCCAAAACAAACAGTTTATTCTAAAGACTCTTTCCTGGTTGGTTGACTAAATGGAGAAGGCGTTTCACATAAACAGAGGTTGTTTATATTTACTTGGCAGTTACAAAGAGAAAAGTCTCCTATTTAGATTTCAGCAAAGGACTGGTAATAAGGAAATTGATGACACGCTTTGCATTCCAGCCATGCAGAACTGACTACAGTTCATACTACTCATCATGTACATTATTTGAATATAAACCACAGGTTTCCCTTCACATTCTGTATGCTGAAATGTAGCCATGTAAAAATTACTTAATGCAGAGGCATGAATTTCCTTCTCCTTTTAAAATAAATTTAATTTACCCAATTTTTCCATAAAACTACTTTTGAATTCTCTTTATCTAGGGGAAGTTATCCAACTATAAATCAAGAATGGCTAAAACTAAAATGTTGAAACAAAACAAAGTTTAGAACTTACAATGTCCATTCCCAAAGTGAAGTCTTTTTTCATCTGCACCATGTTTTGCCTTGTTATAGCCACAGAACCTAGAGGTAAATCAAGAGAAGAGAGAATATGAGATTATACTTCAAGCAATTATATATGTTCAAAATATGCAAGGCACAAAATATAAAGCTTGTTTCTCAAACAATTAAATGCTTTAGTGAAAGTTTATTGGCTTCATATTTTCTAAATCTTCAATGGAAAACCTCTTTTCCTGGGGACCCTGGAAAACTACCTAATGAGGAGACATGTAGAGTTGCTTCCCCACCGAGCAGACCCCTCTAGTTCAGTTTTTATAATGGCCTTAGAATGTGTTTATAGTATTTTTAACAACTACTGTTAGAATGAATGAAGGTAAAGTCTCCATTGGTAATGATTACTGCAGGGCGGTGTTGACCATGTTTTAGGTGAGAAAGTGTCAAGGTAATCTGGGCTGATTCGAAGAGTGAAGGGATAATTGGAAAAAGACATAGAAACTAGTAGGGTCAAAAGAGGAAAGTGGATTGTAGAGGGTGGGGGCAGAAATTGATGGAGGAGGAAAACCAAAACTAAGGATGGAGGGGAAAAAAAGGACCCAGAATAAAATTAAGGCATTTTTATTTGTTAATAAACTTTACTGACCACTCCAAAATTTACCAGCAACTAAAGGCAGTAAGGAAAGCAATAATGAAAATACACAATAAAAGACTGTGAACTCACCTCCCAATCAAAACATAAATGACGACAGTGAGGAGAATAATTGCTACTGCGGCTGAAATGGCAATCATTACCACTTGGCTATTTTCACCAGAGATGGAGAAAGCTGTGAGACGGTGAGAAAAACCACAGAAAGGACACACATTACCACATCATGACGAATGTGAATACGGCACACCTTATAGGTTAAGTTCCCTATTTTATTTTATCTGAAAAGTGATTTAATTTTTGCTATGATGTTGAAAGCTCTTTTTTTTTTACTGTAAAAACACCCCAATGATTATTTTTGATTTTTTCCCAATTCATAATTAAAAATAGTATTTAAAAATAGAGCAACATTGTTTTGAATGGTCAATGAACAATCCTCAGCTGTCTATTGAAGTAAATAGGCAGTTTCTGTTTGACAAGAAACTCACTGGATAAACCAGAAGTTATCAGGTGAATACAGTGAACAGATAACTATTTCCCAGTACAAAAATATAAATCCTTTATAATTAAGCTTATTTACAGGTACCAAGATATACCATATAAAGGTACAAGATCCCTGTGATAAATGTAACTATATTGTTTGCTTTAAATGTACCAATAAACTTAAAGGGGGGAAAAAGCTTATTTGGCCTCCAGTATCTGTATTTATTTTAAAAAGTGATATTTCATTTGCCACAACATGAAAAACCTTGGAGGAAATCATATTAAGTGAATTAGGCTAGACACAGAAAGACAAATACTTTGTGTTATTCTTTATATCAGGAATCTTAAAAAGTCAAATTTATATAAGTAGAGAAGAAATTTGTAGTGACCAGAGTTGGGACAAGGGTGAGAATGGAAACCAACAAAAGGTACAAATTTTCAGTTTTCAAAATCTATTCTGTGGCAAAGTGAACATAGTTAATAATAACCTGTTGAATATTTCAACATGTTTAAATGACATTAACATATTTAAAGGATCTTATTTCACAAAGAGGCAATAGATACAGTGATTAGCTTTATTAGTCATTGTCCTATGTGTACATCTATTAAAATTTAACATTGTAAGCCGGGAGTGGTGGCACACGCCTGTAATCCCAGCACTCAGGAGGCAGAGGCAGGAGGATCGCTATGAGTTCAAGACCAGCCTGGGCTTCATAATGAGATCCAGGTCAGTCTCAACTACATAGTGAGACCCTGTCTCAAAAAACCAACCCCCCCAAAAAAAACGCTTAACATTGTACTCTGTACACATGCACAGTACATCTCTATCTTTTGGCTATAGATCTTTGACTAATTTGCACAACTTGCTTATCCTAGTGTCCCAGGAATTCTTCATAAGCATCTAATAATAAGCTACCTCACACTACTCATTTGACATATTTTAATAATTTATAGAGGTTTTCAATTCTCTGTTCATTTTGATTAGCCAATTTATAAAAGAAAGCTCAATGAAATGGACAGGAAAAACACTACAGGAGAAAGAATTCTGTTTCTTTTTCTGTCAAATATGGGATTTAGATTTCTCTATAGTTTCGTTCAGCTCTAAATATACATGAATTGTAGAGAATAAAACCCAAAATCAAATTAGATCATTCTTGTTACTAAAATTCGTAAACATTTGAATGCATAATTTTGATGTACTCTATAATTATAATTTAAAGTGGTATATTGCTAATCATTATAAAAGTTTCATTTCTTCTAATTTCAATTTGAATTTATTTTCCTACAAGCGAACTCTTCTCATTGTTCCTAGTCACCTTCCATTTTAATCCATCAGACAAATATTGTGGGCTTTTTCTCATTAAAGAGTGGTTACAGTTATGAGCTCATTTTAGTCAGGTGAAATGCCTAGATTTATACTTGTGTGCTATGTGACATAAATTGGGTTGCTTGAAGATTAAATGAGTTACTATGGCTAAGGTGTTGAAAACAACAGACACATAGCAAACTCTGAATAAACATATATTTTATATGATTCAGAGGTACAAAATGTGCAAAAGTACTCTATTTCCTATGAAATTCTGTATCTTGGCATACACAGTTTTCCATATAATGAATCTATTGTACCTTTGACAGGCTGCTTTAGTGCACTATATTAATAGGGTCCAAAAGATTCAAGTTGATGTGCACTGTTTAGAACCAATGAAAGGCAGGTGTGAGGCATTCAGGAATCATAATTTAATTGTTCCTGGGCTCATCTTCTTGGATAGTAATATTGAATGGAATTCTCCAATTCCAATGTCTAGCTTTTGCAGAGTTTTATACTTTCTTATCATTTGAATCTTCAAATTATGAACTATTTTATTAATTACAAACCACACACATATATACTGCTATGGCATCCCCTCCAAAAATTCATGTTAGCACCTTAAGTGCTAATGCAGTAATAATGGGAAATGGAGCCTGGTGGGAGGTGTTTAGGCCATTGGGCTCTGCCTCCATGAATAGATTAATGCCCATATAAAACAGGCTTGCAGGTGTACATTTGCTTTCTATAATATTTCTATCTTATGAGCACACACTGCTTATCCCTTTTTGACCAACCACCTTCCATCATATGGGGATACAGAAAGAGGGCCCTTGACAAATGCCAGTGCCTTGAGTTTGGACCTTCAACTTCCTGAGTTGAGATAAATAAATTCCTCTCCCTCAAAAATTACCCACAATCAACTGTGGTAACAGCCCAAAATGAACTAAGCCACGCACACACACTTGAAGGCTCACAGACACATGTACTCTTCATCCTACATATTGACTACTTGCCACATCAGGTAATATTTCATTCACTTTATAAATAGTAAATAATTTAATCAACATCAATCTATAAATCTACATGAGTTACACATATGATCTCCAATTTCCAAGTAGAGAAATTGATGCACAGAGCATTTAAGAAACTTGTCAAGGTCATTCTAATACATGTACATCCGCTGCAAATTCCTCACATTTAATTTTTACATTATTTTTTGTTTTCTTAAATACAAAGCATAAACCCTGGATTCAGTTTTTGCTCACTGAAAGTTTGTGTGTGTGTGTGTGTGGTGTGTGTGTGTGTGTGTGTGTTACTGATCAAACCCAGGGCTAAGCAAATGTCCTATGTCTGAGCTATACTGAACTGTTGTTTTCTTAACTCACATAAAGAGGCCTTATTAAGAGTCCATGCATAATTTTTACCTCAGGAATATCTTTAGCAAAAATTTACATTAAAATTTTGGAATTTGTTGTATATTGTGTAAATATACTTATTAGAAAACAATATATGCTGTTAGTATCATATAATATTACATGGATATTCTAAATCCACACAAACATTATATTTATCGAATGGTTATTTGACTTTCTCACTCCTATGATGCCTAATTCCCTCCACAAGATATCATAAATATTTGCTTTACTTCTTGTGTGATTTGGCAACCCTCATACCATATCAAATACAGATTCTATTGTTGTTGGTGATTCAAATACCCCTTTTTAAATTTGAAACATTCAGTTTGCAGTTATTTCAAATGGGTAAGCCTTCGCAAAACGTACACATTGCAGAAAGATATATTAATGTTAAGCTTTAATTAAATCTTATCAAGACATTTAATTTTTAAAATTTATTTTAAACCTGGTTTACAATGACTTTCATGAGATTTAATTTTTCATTTCTAGTATCTTCAAAGAGTGGCTTCTCCATGAATTATAAGAACATTAGGAGGATCTTTAAAATGTAGATTTATGCATTTGAGGATGGCAGTTGTCCTTTATGTAAGTGAATTGTGATGGTTCTTCTGTGAACTGATAAATTCCAAAAACATTGCACTCTTAATACCTTGCTGAAGTTACAATTCATTATTATAAGCAACATTCCTAATTGACAAAAAATTCATAAAATATGAATTCCATTATATTGAGTTTTTATCAATTTTTATCAGTCTTGAATGTTCATATTAGGTAACAAATTTGGACATAAATTAGCTTCATATGAATGATAATGTGATTTTATTTAAGAAAAAACATTTAAAAATAGAGAATATAGATACTTCAAAAAATGGCAAATTAGACTTGTTAACAAATTACTACTAATTTTTTCTTCAGTGGAGTATTGGATATTGCTGGACCCATCCAAGATAATCTGATTCTAAAGGGCATGCATCATTTACCTTATTCCTAGGCCTTTTTGGAATTGTGAGTTTCAGGTGTAGAAATCTGTTAGTGACTTCTATTTGTCTATATCAATGATATAGACATACAGATAGGAATATATATATATATATATATACATCGATAATAATTCTATATATTTATATATAGAATTTTCCTATTAAAATTATGACACATTCATTAGAGATAGAATTGGTTTATAGCCTATAGAAAAGATGATCTTAATCATTATTTTCATTTTCTCTATAATACATTAGTCAGTTCTAATCTTATGAAACATGACATTTTTAAGTGTTCTTTATCACCTATTTACATGCATGTACATACTCACAGAAGCCTGTAAATGTGTGTGTCCGTCTCTTCAAACTTTGTCTTAATCACTTATAAGTATCTTCTTTAATAAGTCAAATAAAATATTTTATTTGAGTTAATTTTATATTAGTAAGCAAAGTTTACAATATTACCTTTTTGAAAAGTCTATTTTAAGTCTATTTAGCCAAGGAATTTTTTTGGGGGGGCAAGGAATTTTAAAATATTAAATAAATGAATTTAAGGAAAAGAAAATTATTGGGAAGATAATACTTGCCAAGTCTAGTCAAACTCGAGGTCACATAGACAGGCTGTCCAAATTGCTTTTGAATGTAAGTGAAATGATAAAATACATTTTAGAAATTCCTTATTTGCTGTTATATGTGACTGAATGTGCTAAGAATTAGAACAAAATTAAAAATCTCATGGATCACCAAGTTTCTTTTTTATAATTCACTGAATCATGCAATGGACTTGGAATATGTGGATTTACAAGAGCTGAAGGTTTTTAATAATATTAAATAACATTCCTCAAAAGTAATTTATGACTAATAGAAAAACCTGAAGTATTCCAAGCAATAGAAAGTGTTTGATTTGGAATAGAAAAAAAGAACCCAAACGCATACCCACACAAATAGAAGTACACAGACATGATGTTGGGCACATTGCTAAAGGTCTTTATCAATATATGTTCAATGTATGACACCTGGTTAATACTTAGAGTGAAAGCAAAGTATGAGGAGCTTTTTGCAACACTCCTTCCCCTGAATTTGAAATTGAAGTAATACCTACAGTCAGGGCTAGTTTCAAACTCAAACTTCCGGCTATTGGTCCCATATCCAGCTGCAGTTCGGGCTCGGATTTGGAATACATATGTAGTATCAGGCTTGAGGCTACTGATGGTGACATTTGTGCCTCTTGCCCTCAAAATCGTATAACTTGTCTCTTGTTCCTGCTTTGAGGTAAGAAAAAAATAATGTTAATATCAAATTTTCTTAATGCTGTCAATTAACAAACAATGAGCCACTGAAAGTAATTTCTTTGAGATTTTGATGTAGGGCATATAATGGTTGAAAAATTTTACCATCTGGAGATTCTTTTAACAATGAACATATTTATAACACTTTCTAATTTAGAGGTCATGAGTTAAACTCTGTTAACTGATAAGTTAGATTTTATTCATACTACATAGTAAATGTGTGAGTGACAATATATTCCTTTCAAAGTCAAACTTGAGAGACTCTTGCAACTAAATTCAAGAATAAACTGACAAAAAAGAAAATATACCCTTGAATTAATTCTAATAGGAATGTCCTATAGAAGCTCAAATACAAAATATTTCTATTAATTCACAAATATTAAATATAAAATTGAGGTTAAATATGTGGCTCAAATTTTCTCAGTATAATTATATTTGGGTTCTGCTTAAGCTAAGTCAAATCAAATTTAAGAAATATTTCCCATGAAGATATCCTCTTGGAGGTTCACACTGCATATTAGGAGATTCACATCGTGCACCCTAACAGTAAAATCTTAGTCCCAAGCCTTGTTCATAAAAATTGAATTTATGTAAAATCTAATTGTTCCCCTCATATATATGAAAATTATTTATAGATTGTTTCAGCTAAACAATGATGTTTTCAGCTATAGATGCTGGCTATATGTTAGATAACATTTGAATTACTATACCAAGTATTGAAAAGTGCTGAATACATTTTTCTATCAATAATTATAGTATTTCAGTTATAAAATTATTGAGAATCAGAATCACTCAGTGTTCATTATTATGAAAGAAATTAATAATAAGAATATGTATTTTGTTGGTGGAACTTGAAATAAGTTTGAAAATATTTTTACATTTGCAAATAGTCCATTATATTTTAGAAACAGCATCATGAATCTAAAGTTGATTTTCTCCTAGTTCTTTTATCTAGTCCAACTTGAAGTACAAAATTAATTTTCCTTTTTTTATCATTAATAACATAGATTATCAGATCTGCATAGTGTATTTTGTATTATTTTTTAAAAATTACAGTCAAACGAGTGGCTATCAAAAGAATTATCCCTACTGAGATGTTGGCACAATTAAATTTATGCAGACTCATTTTCTTCTACTGAAAAAGACATTTTTTTCTCAGTAGCAAAGAGTATAAAAAAGAGGACATCATACTTGTGAAAAACATTAACTTAAATGAAGGAAATAACTGGATCATGCAAAAGCATATTATACACTGTTCCTCATTATAACTGATTGTACCCATGGTACTTACACTTCTAATGATCCAGTCCTATAATGTAGGAGTTATACAATACAGGGTGGGAGTGCACATAATAAATGAGAAACCATGGCTGGCAGGATTCAAAGCAGAAACCCAATGTTTTTTAGCAGTGTGGCCATGGAAAATTTATCCAATGTCAACAACTCTCAGTTTCCTTATTTTTAAAGGAAAGAACCTATTTACCAATTTTCATAAGATTATCATACAGCTCATATTTAAATAACATATGCAGAAATATTCTGTAAATGTAAACTGCTGTATAAATGCACAGCTTGTTTGTAATCCACTTTAAAATACTTCATAAACTGCAGCAGATACACAAATATATTCTGTTCACAAGTAGCTATAAAAAGAACCACATCTGATGATGAAATTCAAATATATCTTGCTTTCAGGCTTTCTGATAAATTAAGCTGGGGAAATAAGTGTTACCATGATGAAATGTCACTTTCTGAATTCTATGTATAATCATTCTGTATAGTTGTTTTTAATAATTGTATTATTGAACCATAGTTTTATGATGTGAGGCAAATTTATCCATCCACCCTCAACTTCTAAAATTTCTTCTGCATAGTAAAGAACAGCTTTCATTGTCAGTTCAGTAATACAATGCTTTTTTTATTGATATCAATTTTCCTATCTGTATTAAATGAACTTCATGTCAATATGAAGGTCAGAAAATCGTGCTTGAGACAATAAACTAAAGGATTGTTAGTTCATCAACAGATTAAGGAATCACTATAAAACTGTTAGTAAACAAGGGTCTTGGAGAGAAAGGACATAAATGTCCTGTCTATTGTTATAATTCACTGGCTTAATTTTGGAAATGACATCTTTGATGCGACTGGTTGCTGTGGAAGAGAGGGTATGTATATTTGACAACACAATTTCTAAGCTCCACTCTGCCTATAAATCAACAGGGTCACTGGACCATGGTTCTCAGTAGAGCTCTATAACTTATTAGCTATATCACTGGTTCCTTTGTGAGAGCAGAGGTCATGAGAAAATAGTCTTCCCAATATAACTAACCCTTGTAACATCATTTCCCCACCTTTTCATAGTATTTGACCTCGTAGTCTAAAATGATCCCATTAGGATGCTCAGGTTCTTGCCAGGATAAAGAGATGCTGTTTCTGGATGTCTTATCTTTCTTAATTGTCATGACAGGTGATGGAGCTGTGAAAAGAGTAAGGGAGGGGTCGGTGGAAGGAAACAAGTTATCAAATTTGGGAGGGTGGTGACAAAAGCAGAGAGAAAAAGGAACAAGCAAAAGGAGTCTATCATTGTTTTAATCTTTGGCAAGAAAGCACTATTTCCATTTCCAAGGCACTTGAGTATTAATCTAGTCCCATATCCAGGGTCAGCAGCTGGATTATAGTCCCAGTACAAGGAAGCCTATGGAAAATGAGCTGAGATGTTCTGCTGCTGGGGGGCCAGGAGCAAGTGAGCAGATGTTTTCAATCTGCTACTATAATGTAAAAAATAAAATATGTTTGATATATTGCAAAAGAACAAAACTTCATGACTATCGATTTGTTATAATGCTGCAAAGTTATTAATGCCAGATTCTTCGGCTCTTTATTTTATTTTTATTTTTTGGGTTCCGGGGATTGAACTCAGGACCTTGGGCTTGTGAGACAGGCAGCAGAATCACTGAGCTAAATCTGCCTCCCCTTCAGCTATTTGATAACATTTTCAGATGCAACCCTGTAAGAGAACCGGAATTCATGATACACAAGGAGTCTCATGGTATCTATAGGTAATGATAACATTTAGTGTATTGTTAAATACATATGATTTAGCACATCTTACAGTAATTTTGAATCCTAGCAAATAAATCTCCAGTGCATCAATGTATGTATCAAGAAAACACCAATCTTCTACTTTTGCATTTTTATTTTAAAGTATTACATAAATACAACAAAATGTCTGCTATATGTGTTACATATTTTGAATATTTTGTTGGTGACTGTGTTTGCTATGTTTTTTATGTATTTACACATGTACAAAATATGAATTAAGAGCTTTGGTTCAGATTTCTTAGAGTCATCTTCATTTCTTACTAAAGATTAAATATATTTTTAGTGATTTACTACATCAAATTCTTCCATTAAAAAGGAAAGTGCATAAAATTCACCAATGTACTTCTGTTTTGAGATCTCAACTTGGTATATACTCAACTGAAATGTCTCATGGGAAAACAGTGGCACTCTACCCTCACGAAACAGAAAACCAAACCACAAATACAAAACAAAAGCCAGTAAATCTTGAGATATATTAACTGTTAAATTGTGTTCATTGTATAAGAAGCTATTTTTTATAAATTTGCTCAAATAAGTAACTATTTGAACCCATGTAGGTATATTCTTCACAAAAATTAACATACAGGTTCCATATTTGTTGTTTTGATTATCACAGATTACTATGATTATCACAAAGCATTTGCATTCATCAATTGCATTTACATGCATCAACTCAAACTGTTTCGATCTATATCAGCCTTTCATTTATATTAATGTATATAAATGATGTGTACTTTTCCATCTATACCTCATCTATTCAATATTCTGTTTTAGTTCTCAAACTGGTATCATCACTTTCATCCCTGTGGTTTGCCACTCTGAAGCTGATTCCAAGCAAAGTTAACTCATTTCCATTAAATTTTAGTTGACATTTCATTAACATATTTGATGTGTATAAATGTCACTGAAATTAATACCAGAAGGTTGAATACTTGATACTTTTTTATTTATTGTAATCCTTAGAAAAATAGATTTATTTTCCAATTGCTAATAAAAAATGTGGCCTATTGTCCAGGAACCAAATTTTGCTTCTTATACAAACAATGGAGAAATTCCACTAATTTTTCTGCTGAAGTAAATCCATTAATAGTATAACTTGTAATGTGTGCTTACAAAGCATTTCAAAGAAACTTAATGTTGTAATACTTTACTTTTAAAACCATGAAGTCCTGGGTTTAATTCTTTATCATTATGAAAATTTTATTTTCCCTAATGGTTAAAATAAATTTCAAAGAAGTTTTGGAAAATTACCAGGTACAGTATCTCTCCTTTAAAAAATAATAGAAAGAAAAAACTCATTTTGATGAACAATTATAACAAGGATTATATTAACTTTTTAATAGAAGCTTTGCAGGCTGCTTTGGGAGTCTGCCCAAGTTTTACTGCTTCTGCAATGAGCAAGACATTATAACTGTTGAATTTCTTCAAAGGCCTTTGAGCAAGCTGTAGGGCCCCTTTCGCCTGTAATAAATAGCCTTTTGTAATTCCACACTTACTTAAGTAAAGGCAATTGCTTGAAACTTGTGCCATCTTTATGTTAAATGAACCTTTTCTGATCGCAGCTTTTAGGCCCCTGATAAGTCATTTGTTCTGCTCTTTTAATGCATGCCCCTTGTGCTGGCTGTATTTCAGCATAATTCAACCCAGTACATCAGCTGGAAACCCATTATTTTTAGGTAATGCTCACCAATATTCTAATATTAATAAACATTTACAGAAATTATTTTTGTATCACCTTATAAATAATCTTGGGATATTATAACATATACTCATAAAGATAATTAGCACATGGGAATCTTACTGCATCAGTTTTTTAAATAAAGTTTCTTAGAACACTTTGTAATTCATATTATTATTTTCTTTTTTAGATGTATCTTTTTATTAGTACATGCTTGGCATACATAATGATTACATTTATCATAGGGAATTTGTACCTGTACATAATATATCTTAGTTTTTTTTCCCTATATTCCATCCCTTCTTAAACCTTTCTTCTCCTCATTTACAGATCAGTCTCCATTATTTTTTCTTCAATTATTTCTTTTAAAATATCTGCTTTTTAAATTTCCACTTCCTTCCCTTCCCCCTCCCTTTTCTTGTTCCCCTTATCATTTGAACAAGCTCTTCTTGGATTATAATTTCAATTTTTACGGATAAAGAGTGACACAGGATACATTTCTTTTTGTTAGTTTTGAAGTATCAGTGTATGATTTGTTCAGTTATTCATTTTCAAATCTGTAAGAAAATTTCAAATTTTTTCTATGTAAAAATGGCATTGTAATATACACTGCAGGATAGATTTGATGTATTTTATTTCATTTCTTTATATTTTAAACTTGTGATTTGTAAGAAGGAAGGGTGATTGTCATATAGAAAGAGGAGAAATGCTGGGAGCTAGATAGAGAAATTAAGATAAAAGAGGTACATGGGCTTCATTTTTATAAACTTGCTGATGTATAAGCTAAAATAGCAAATTTATTATTATTATTATTTATTTTATTTTTTATTTTTTTGGTACTGGGCCTCGAACTAGGGTCCTTGCGCTTGTGAGGCAGTTGGTGGAACCATTGAGCTAAATCCCCAGCCCTAAAATAGCAGATATTGCCAAATATTTCATCTGCTTTAACTGTGTGCCTATAACCTAAGAAATTAATAAAACACTTTTCTTATTAAAAGAAAAACGTTGGCGACAGTATAGAACACTGAGAAAGTGGATCAGGCATTTATGCAGATTAAGAAATGGTAAGTTTTCTAGAGAGGAAAATGGAAAAAAAACAAGTAGATAACTTGCAACAGGTGAAGATAATATTTTTAAATTAGAAATAATGCTTTGATGTATCAAATACACTTTGTTGTATTTCTGAGATAATATTTGATTCTGAACTTTTGTTATTCTGAATAAAACATATTTTCCTTTGTTAAAAGAAATGAATAAGACACAATGTAGTTGTTAAAGTGATATCTAATGACTATATCTAACTAAAAAAATTCTTTAAAAAAACCACACACAACAGAAAAGAATGAAATTTGGAAGGAAAGGGGTAGCTCATCGATTGCACAATTAATTATCCTCTGGGAAGATTTTTCTGGATGTATATTATCCTACTATAAACTTCCAAACACTCTCGAGTACTCAAAAATCTTAACTTGCTGTGCTAGATTTGCTCATGATTCTTACAATTCGTTGTTCTATAAAGTACACAGGTGATTGAAAAAATATATTAATTTTTAAAAAAATTACATTAAAAGACACATTGTTAAGAACTATGAGGTAAGTATATTCAAAGTGAAGGAAGATATTTTGAATATTTTAAGTAAATAATGTGGTTTTTACTGCCTTGTTTTAAAATTTAAACAATCAATGTATTTTTAAAAATATTTTGTTGAGAAAACATTTGTGGACATTTTCTGTCAAATAATGTCATAGCACGGCGTGGTGGCGCACATCTGTAATCCCAGTACTCAGGAAGCTGAGGCAGGAGTCTTGCTGTGAGTTCGAGACCAGCCTGGACTACATAGTGAGTTCCAGGTCAGTCTGAACTACATAGTGAGACCCTGTCTCACAAAAAACAAAAAACAAACAATCAAAAAAAAAAATGTCATAGTCTTTGCTCATCCACCTTAGACACCATATTGTCACCATGCCACTTTTGGTTCTTCCCAAAGGTCAAAATGACCCTGAAGTGAAACTCTTGAATGGATTCAGGACAATGATCCAGCCTTAAGAATACAACTAAAGACAAACACAGAAGATTTTCAGAAATGCTTCCAAAAATGCCGGGAACAATGAGATAAGTCTGTTCAGTTAATGGGTAAGTATTTGAGGGGGATTCATATGTTTGGATTTCTTTTGAAATGACAGACAACCAGAAACATATTTCACCCTATCTTATCTAATACTCTGTGTCTTGTGAAAGCTGGTATCAAAGTGTTTTTCCATTTCTTTTCTAAGAAGACATTACTTTCTGGGTAGCTAAGTTGATGAGTTCACTGGATGTTTTCTCCTTCCCTAGTTCAGGCCAAGCAATGAAGCTTCTTGGATCAACAACATACAATAACCAGGTGAGAGGTATTATATTGAGAGATGTATGACCCTTAAAAATTAAAAACTGAATCTCATTCAAAAGGCACAAAAGAACTTTCTCAAAAAGATTTCTTTCTTCTTTTATGTGTGGAGAAAGGGTACAATTTACTTTCACTGTTAATGTAACCTGGGTCATTGACTACACCTAATGAAATAACAGAAAAACAAGTTACAACAAAAAAGTGAAATTATTATGCTATAAAAAAAGTTTTCCTTGTAAAGACTGGTTGGGGATGGGACCTATTTTTTCACAATTTTTATGAGAATCACGTTTAATACTTATATGCATG